GGGTTTAGGGTTCAGGGTGCAGCAGACTTCATCAACATCATTTGAATCTACAGGGGCATTTACTTACAGTCTGCTACATAGTTTTAAGGTTTAGGGTTTAGGGTTTATTCGGAAGTGAGGATACATATGAGCAGAAAAGCGAATTAGAAAGAATGCGTTGTACGTACGCCTCAGGAGAAGGCGGGTGTATCCCCAGCCGTTGCTATATATATATATATTATATATATATATATATATATATATATATATATTACATAAACCCTAAAACGCCCTCAGGAGGACGACGCAAAGAAAAAACCCAAAGGATATACAGCGCTCGAATGCATGCACCAATACCATTCAGAATGACAGCAGCAGCAGCTGCAGCAGCAGCAGCAACAACAGCAGCAACTGCGGTCTTCTCCGAGATAAAAACGAATCCCCCGTGGGGGCGGCTGATTTGAATTAAATCCTCTGCATAAAAGCTGTCTGTACACCTGGAGAAGGCGAGAAGTTGTCCATTAAGAATGCATGCATCATTTAATTGAAGTTCTTCTGTATTGAAAGCTGCTGTTTTATAATTCAAATGAAGTGAAAGCACCGAGAAGAAAAAAAGAAACTGCTGCTGCAAGGCGAACAACAGCTGCTGCACAGGACAACTGCGCAGACAAAGGACCAAGACGCATCTGGCTAGCTAGCTGTACAACTAAGGAATGATCGCTAGCTAGCTGTACAACTAAGGAATGATCGCTAGCTAGCTGTACAACTAAGGAACGTTGGCTAGCTAGCTGTACAACTAAGGAACGTTGGCTAGGTAGCTGTACAACTAAGGAGCGTTGGCTAGCTAGCTGTACAACTAAGGAACGATCAGCTGTAAGGCTGGCTAGCTGTGAGGAAGGCTAGGGGTATATGTATATGGAATAATGATTAGAGGGAGTTCCCCTGAAAAACAGCAGTTGCCGTTGGGCAGACAGCGTGCATGCAACGCGGTGTACGTACGAGTTCTAAAAGCCGCAGTTGCATGCATTGTTTTGCATGCACAGTCTTGCATGCATGTATGTGGTTCCGCTGCTGCATGCACGGCTATATGCATTCACTCTGATTCCCCTTTGAAGGGGAAGAAATAACAAGGAAATAACAAGGAAGGAACAACAGACAGCGCGTTTACTTCGACGACATCATGCTGATGGTAGGGACTTCCTTGGAGGCTGCTTCCATTGCAAGAGGTGCAGGTTCTTTAGATGCTGCAGCAACCATTGGGGCTGGGGCTTCCTTAGTAACGGACATAGCCATGGGCATAGGCTCCTTAGTAGACTGAGCTAAGACAACGGGAGGAGGGGGAGGGGGGGCAGAAGCAACCTGAACAGTGCGGCACTTGGTGGTGTACTTGGTCTCGGTGCATGGGTAGGGCTGCTGCTTAACAACGTCATTGTAGCAGGTCTTAGGAACGGTGTATGGCTGCTGCTCGCACTGCTGCTGCATCTGAACCTTTGCACAATCGTAGGGCTGCTGCTGAGGTACATCTCTGTAGCAGGTCTTCTCAACAGTGTAAGGAACTTGCTTGCACTCCTTCTTGGGGCAGTCATAGGGAACCTGAACGGGCACTTGTTTCGTGCATGTCTTCTCAATGAACTGGCATTCACGCTCCTGCACAGTCTTGCTGCAAGGATAGTCTTCCTTAACGGAGACAGTGCGCATGCAGGTATCAGTGTAAGGAACAGTCTGCATGTGGCATTGCTCCCTGAACTGGGTCTGGGGGCAGCTGTAGGGAACCTGAACAGCCTTAGGACGAGTGCAGGTGTCGTTGACGGTGTAGGGGACTTGTTCGCACTCCTGCTTCACCTGCACCTTGGGGCAAGGGTAAGTCTGCTGCTGAGGCACCTGACGAGTGCAAGTGGCAGGGACTTCGACAGGAACGCTCTTGCACTGCTGTCTGTACTGAGTCTTGCTGCAAGTGTAGGGCTTCTGCATGGGCACAGACTGGTAGCAGGTGTCAGGGACGTCGAAAGGCACTTGCTGGCATTCCTCTTGGAACTCGGTCTTAGTGCATGCGTAGGACTCCTGCTGAGGCACGTCTCTGTAGCAAGTCTTGTTCACCTGCATGGGAACAGTGCGGCAGGTGGGAGCAGACTTCAGTCTCCTCATCTTGCAGTGCTTTCCCTTGCACATGGGGGCCTCAAGAACCTGAGGGGCCTCAGAAATGCACTCGGTCTTGTACTCTGTCTTGGGGCAGTCGTACGCCTCCTTCACCATCACCGTCTTCATGCAAGTGTTAGGAACCTGCACGGGAACCTTGCGGCACTGCTGTCTGTACTCGGTCTTCTTGCAAGGATAGGCCTTCTTGGTTTCAACAGTCTCGTAGCAGGTGTCAGGAACTTCGAAGGGAACCTGCTCGCACTGCTGCTGATACTCGGTCTTAGTGCACTTGTACTGTTCAGGAGTCATCACAGTACGCTGACAGGCGTCCATAACGTTGTGGGAGACGTTGCGACACTGCTGTCTGTATTCGGTGCGAGGACAGCTGTAAGTTTCTTGAGTCATCTCCTCCTTGTAACAGGTCTTGGCCACCTGATAAGGCACCTGCTGGCACACGCGCTCCTGACGCGTCTTCTGGCAGGCATATGGCTGCTGCTGAGGAACCTGGCGGCTGCAGGTTGCAGGCACTTCACGAGGAACCATCTTGCAGTGCTCTTTGCCGCAGGAGTAGGGCTGGACGGTCATTTCGGTGCGCTGGCAGGTCTTAGGCACATCGTAGCACTCGGTCTTCATCTGGGTCTGGGGGCAAGGGTATGCCTCCTTTGCGTTCACGGTCCTGTAGCAAGTCTCAGCCACCTGCATAGGGACGTTCTTGCACACCTGACGAGTCTCCGTCTTGTCGCAAGAGTACGCCTCCTTCACCGTCACGCTGCGGTAGCATGTGGAGGCGGCCTGGTAAGGAACCTGCTCGCACACCTCCCTCGTTTCTTTGGCGAAGGCAGGCACTGCACACAGCGCGAATGCCGCGGCAATTGCGGTGACGGTTTTCATCTTGTCACTTAACGAAACGGAAAGCAAAGCGGGGAATCCCACGGGAAAATCAGATGGTGAGATAGCGGAAAAAGGAAGACTCGAAGAGAGAATCTGTTGTTGTGCGTTCATACAGAAACCTCCGTTTCTACACGCATCTCAGTTATTTCAACAGCCAAAGAGGGGAGAGAAGGCGACAGGAACCTGACTGACAGCTCTGTCGCTGGCGACAGCGGGCGCTGCGTCGCGCGACGAATGACGGAATGCCTCCTTCTATCTTTCCCCTTTTTTTTTCTCTTCTCAGAAGTAAAAAGGGCAAGTAAAGAAAGATTTTTGAAACGAATATACAAAGCAGGAACGAGATTTGCTTGCCGCAAAAGTACTTGGTTCTTCAAGTTGTGTGCTGCGTGCTCTGTAGCAAGTGAGACAAACCGCCATGCTTCATCTTCAGGTGAAGCGACACTTCAGAAAAATTCTGGAAACCTTCTAGAACTACCTTTATTTAGGCATTTTGAATACATATGCATGTTATTTCAACGCATTTAACAAATTTCTGCGAAAAAGAAAAGCACACTCCTCTCTAACAGCCGACCGCCTCTCTGCGTTCCTGCCAGAAACCACTTGTGTGTTGTGCATTTGTCCCCGTGAAATTTCGTGAAAAAACATGTTAGACACAATTTAAATAATTCCGTTTAACAAACAAATCAAAGAGAGGTTCAAAAATGGGGTATTTCCAGAGATTTCACGAAGCAGGTTTCGCCGTGCACGTAGGTGATGCTCTGTGCTTCCCTGTAGCATTTCTGCATACTAAACACCCATTTCAAATTGAAATTAATGCAAATGAGTTATTCTCATAATTTTCGAATTTATTAATATCCATCAGAAGCATTAGTTCTGCGTCCTTTTCACATCAAACAGCACCAAAGGCGTCCTGTTCAACTTCACGCAAAAAAGTTGAACGGAATGCTGAACGAATTGAAGTCGATGTATTGCATGAAATGCATAAATGGAAAAGCCGTTATAAATTATACAGTTGATGAGGAAATTGGGGCAATAATAAACAGTTTTAGAGCATGTATTTGAAAGTGGGATAATGAATCAAGCGGTTGAAGTTGAATGAAACGAAGACAAATGAATTTCTCTGCATGAATGAATGCATTGAACTGACATGACAAATTTATTATCTGAGTTCAGTGAAATCGAATAAGCTTATTCAAATTTAGCTAAATTGATACAGAAAAATTGAAAGGCGTCCTGCTGCGCTGCACTACCGCTCGTCTCCCCTTTATAAGTGGAATATGTCCAGTGCAGCACATCTACTGAATATTTCCCGTGTCTAAATCGTTCATCTAACTTAACAAGAGTCTCTCGAAACATTTCACAATACATTTATGTGAATTTACGTCAAAACCCTCAACTGCGTGCTTCTCTACAGACAACGCGCCGGTGGCTAAATGAATTTTAGTTTTTTCTCTGGCGTAGCGAAGATGTGTTCTCAAGCGAGGTGTATCCCGTGCAAACACTTAAATAACTTGACCGTAAAACGAGCAAGAGGAGAGATGCAGTTAAACTCCTCAATAATTGACTACCACCCCGGCAGCAGAGCATAAAAAAAAGTGCATCCAAATAACACCAGTAGCAACCATCTAAGCGACCTCTAGGAAACGTTGGGACCACCCTGTCTAATGAAATTGACTGCATATACTCTTCGAAATAATAACAATAAAGAAGGCTAAAGAAAAGGTTTTTGTTCGAGGGTTCGCTCCCCGCCTGCCCAGCACCAGGTGATCGACAGACAAATCAGCATCTGTCTTCTGGCTGCTGCAGCACCTTGAACATATTTTCCTCACAAATCCCCCCCCTTTCTGCTGCTGCAGCTGATAAAAGCAAACAACAACAACCGAGTGCAATTTCTGCCTTCACAGCAGAAGAAGCGTGCAAAGAAAACAAGGCGACGGGCGAAAACCCCATCCCCTAAATTCAGAGGTGTATGTACACCTCAGCAATCCACCAAACAACCCACCAACATACGTAGGAGGGAAAGCTGTCCCGTTATAACGGAAGCCCCCTCCTTTTGATTATTTTTCGACTCGAGATCGAAAGCATTTTTCCTCCTGTGTCAATAACTGTTCATGATTCCGCTGTAGCTGGCGGCTTGACTTCAGTTTCCTCTCCTCTCTTATCCCCCTCTTCTGTTGCTGCCGCTGCAGTTTCAGCTTCTTCTTCGGGCATAGGCGCATCCAAATCCTTCAAATCATCATCATCATCTGAGTCACCCAAATCGCCCATCTCTCCTAGACCGCCTGCGCCTCCCAAAGAGCTAAGATCTAAACCTCCCATTCCTCCCATTCCTCCCATTCCTCCCATGCCTCCGAAGCCCATGGAATCCATATCGAAGTCTCCCATGTCCATGTTGCTGTTTTCCTCTTCATCAGAATCCACCCATTTGTTCCAGTCGCACTTCAGCCAGTACAGCTTCTTCTTGTCTGCAGTCGATACACGGTGCCATCGCTTCGCCTCCTTCTTTACTAGCTTGAATTGCACATTACGCTGCGTGCTGTACTTGCTCTCCTGCAACAACAGCAGCAACAGCAGAATGCACATCTCCGGTTACCTCCCCTAATGCTACTAGAGCCAAAGGGTAAATAATGTAGGAGGCATTCCTCTCTGCTGAATGAAGCATGCTGCAGTGTCTGTACGTCTAATGGAACTCTACTCACCTCAACATTGATAGGTTCAGGGAAGTCGAGATGGAAAGCATAAAGTTTCTCGCCTTTAGTGCATTCAAAGTCCAAACTTTCTTCTTTTAAATCCACCTTAAGGTTTTCCGGAGAGGTCACCTGCACCGTTAGAAAGACAAACGGCTTCCTCTCCGCCCACAAGCACTCGGGGGTGCATGCTTCCTTCCTGCAGCCCAACAAAGAAAAGACAGACAAAAACAGCAAACGAGCGCACCAATCAAATACAGCACTCCTTACACACGGACGCATCGCTGCATGCTTGGTGCTGCTGTTGCATGCATGCATGCATGCAGTAGCAGCAAGTAGTCGTGTGGAAGCCTTCCTTCGTTGCTCAAAACACATGCCCAGGCGTCCCCCCATGCACACAAGTAGCAGCAGTAGAAGCTGAAAACTGCAGCACCAGCCGCAGCTACTGCTGCTGCAGCAGTCCGCCGCTGCAGCAACAGCAGCCGCAGCAGCAGCAGCTGCTGCTGCTGCTGGTGCAACCTCATTCGAAAAGGAACAAATGGTATCCGGTGTGCATACACCCCAAATATCGGCATAATGAAAGTCTTTCGCCGAAGGACACACAGTGTAGACAAACTTTGGGGCACTGACGCCACGGTGTCTGTACACCGCAATATCTCAGAATATACAAAGAAGAGAAGAAGAGGAGAATTAAATGAATATAACTTCTTTGGATCTGTTCACGCAACACCAAAGATTTGGGTTTCGCTGCTGCCACAGCTGCCTGCTACAGTCACTGCTGCTGCTGCTGCTGCTGCTGCAGTTGCTGCTGCTGAGCTTCTGGTGCTTGCTTACGCCATTTTGTCGCCTGAGGGCTTTGTTATTCTGCAGCGCTTGCAAAACAACGAAAAGAAAACAAACGGTAATTCGTCTTCTCCTTTCAGCTGCCAGCAGACAGACGCACCCACACTGTTGGATGCTGCGGGGCCAGCAGCAGCAGCAACAGCAGCAGCAGCAGCAGCAGCAGCCAATAATAATATATGGGGTTAACAGGTGTCTGTACACCGCAAAAAAATATTTTTTTGCGCTTTTAATGAATTTTATTTTTTTGGTGTTGATTAACAACAACGAACAGCAAATAAAAACAAAATTCGTCTTCTTTTTTTGATTTCTTTCTTCGCCCTACCCGCAGCACCAACGGCAGCGGCTGGGGCTTTTAAAAACCGCGGCTGCACCAGAAGGAGATTTGTTGAGTAAAAGAAGACAAATGAATTATTTGGAGATATTTTTAAGTATCTATTTATTAAATTCAATTAAATATCATAACGAAGAAAAACTTCTTCTATGCTTCAGCAAAACCCAAGAACAGAAGTAGCAGCAGTTGCTTCGCTTAAAGAAATCTCCTTGCTGTCTTCTGTAGAGACAAAGTTGAGGGGATGTAATAATATATTAATTTATTCAAATAAATTAATTGTTTAATTCAATGAAATAAAGAGCCCTCAAGAATATCTTTATTTCCCTTATCTTTTGCTTGCTCGGTTTCTCCTCACCGTGCTGCTGCTGCCGCTGCTGCTGTTACTCTTGCTGCTGTTGCTGCTGCTGTTGCAGTGCCTTTATCCTCAAACTACAGGAAGCAGCAAATTAGGGTATTAAAGAAATTTGTTATTCTTTCTTCTGCCTTCATCTAAACAAAATGGTTTTAGCTCCAGTGTAGGATTGCAGCTGCAGCAACAGTTCTCGATGTTGCCGGTAGTGCAGTAGTTGCTGCTGCACAAGTTGTTGCTGTTGCAGCAGCAGTTTGTTTCTGCTGCATCAATTGCATTCGCAGCAGCTGCTTATTCAGTAGGCACTAGACGACACATACAGAGAGGGAGAGAGACGCATGCATCTGCTAACAGGGCCCGCTGATTATTTGCTTTGTTGAACGCCCTACTGCTGTTGCTGCTGCTGCTGCTCCTCTTGCTGCTTCTACTGCTCTTGTTGCTTCTGTTACTGCTGCTGCTAGTGTATCCACAGCAATCTCAGGGCTGCATCTCTCGCATGTAAGAATGTGTTTATCTATTGCTAATTCATTAGTTGTCTCTCTGTCTTCTCTGTCTCCTCCGTTAATTCTGTTGGTTTTGTATTTCTTTATTTTGATTTCTGCATGTTGTGCTGCTTGCCGTCACCAGCTGTCTGTACACCTGAAATATCTCTATCGGTCCTCATGCTGCTGTTAGCTGTTGCTTCTAAGCAGCAAAATTGTGGGGTGTATGTACACACCATTTATGAAAAAAAGAAGATAAACAAAAACAAAACCTACACCCTCTTTCCAACCCAACTCAGGGTTTAGGGTTTAGGGTTTAGGGTTTACAGTATACAGTTCACGGTTTAGGGTTTACGGTCTACATTTCACAGATTACCGTTTAGGGTTTAGGGTTTAGGGTTTAGGGTTTATTGGGGATGAGGAGCGTTGGTGTTGCATTGGGCATTATAAAACTTCCGTCAAACCCTAAAAACCCTAAACTGTCTGTCTTACCGAAACCCAGCAGTATAGACACTGCAGCGCCTGCCATACTATGACCGTAGACTACAGCCTAAACAAACAAACAAACAAATAAATAAGTAAATAAATAAATAAATAAATAAATAAATAAATAAATAAATGAAGTAATTGAACAATTCGCATGTATGCAGTATGCTGCAGCAAATTGTAGTTATTTTCTAAACCCTAAACCCGTAGTAGCAGCGACAGACACAAAGGACAGAGTAAAACCCTAAACCCTAAACCCTAAACCCTAATAAGGCGAAGCTATAATAATATGCAGAAATAAACAAAGCAAAAGAAACATCATTAGGGGCAGCGGAAGCCAAGAAGCAAAACACTAAAATAACGAATACATGCAGCTGCAAACCTAAACTAATATATTTGTCTCCTGCTGCTGCTGCTACCCCTGCTGTTGCTGGCACTGCTACTGCTGCTGCAACTGCTGCTGCTGCTGCTGCTACTGCTACTGCAGCTGCTGCTGCTGCTACTGCTGCTGCTACTGCTGCTGTTACTGCTGCTGCAACTGCTGCTGCTGCTGCTGTACCCTGGCTTTTCTGTTTTCGTCTGTTTGCTGCTTCTTCTTCATCGCTTCATTTGCCTTCTCTGCTATGATGTACAGCGCTTTGCGCTGTCTCTCCATACACTCCAGAAAATTCTCCGCTTCCAGCTGTACGTACACCCCAACAAACCCTAAACCCTAAACCCTGAACCCTAAACCCTAAACCCACCGTAGAATTAACGCATAGAAATAAATATACAAATATGCAAATATATAAATACATAAATATATATATATATATAGATTTATATATTTAAGTTATACATATGTATTAATATGTGCATGCATATAAATACGCAAATTTATAAGTATATTAGTATATTAGTAAATATAAGCATGCACATATATATATGTATATATATATGTATATATATCTGTATATTTATATAAACATATATACAAATATGTTTATATAAATAAACAAACAAAAAGAAGCAAAGAAACAGACATGAAGAAACAAATGGAGAAACAAACAAAAGAAAATTAAAAAGTAAGCAAAGGCAGCAAAAACAAACAAAACAGAAAAACAGGGCGACAGTGCTGCAAACAAAATAAACAAAATAAGCAAAACAAATAAAACAAATAAAACAAATAAAACAAATAAAACAAAACGAAACAAACTACACTCAAACAAACGACAAAAACGAACAACAAAAACAAAACAACAAAAACAAACAACAAAAACAAACAAACAAAACAAACAAATAAAACAAACAACAAAAACAAACAAATAAAACAAATAACTAAAACAAACAAATAAACAAACAAAACAAAATAAATAAACAAACAAATAAACAAACAAAACAAATGTTTGTTTTACTTGTGTTTTTCCGTTTAGCCACTGGGGTGATATCCACTCGGCGAGATTAACTTTATGCGATTTGTTTGTCTTCACAACTGCATTTTGCTGCAAATAAAATAAATGAGCGCAGTCTTCGGCGCAAAGAGAAATTACCTGCGAACAATTACAAACAAATATTTAAAGAAAATGCACATATATATATATATATATTTAAGTATATTTATATATACATATGTACATGTATATATATATATATATTGTATATTTGTATAGATTTGTATATATATATATATATGCAAATATATACATATATATGTATAGTTTATTCAATATATTTATGTGCGTATGTCTATATATATGTATATAAATGATATATGCAACATATATATATATATATATCATATATATATATATATATATATATATTATATCTATATATA